TGAGGAGGTGGCACTATGGGAAGAGCCACTTCTGTCCAGGTTACTGGGAGCTTCTGTGGCTCATGGTAGTCCAATGATGTGACTCCAGGTGACTTTTGTCACCATTTTCTATTAGGCCATGTTTCCTGCCCCATTGCTGGTTTTAGTGGGCTAAGTAATACGCTTGTGTGTAAGATTTTTTTTTTTTTTTTTTTTTTTTTTGAGACAGAGTCTCACTCTTGTCTCCCAGGCTGGAGTGCAATGGCACAATCTTGGCTCACCGCAACCTCCACCTCTCAGGCTCAAGCGATTCTCCTGCCTCAGCCTCCTGAGTAGCTGGGACTACAGGCATGCACCACTATGCCTGGCTAATTTCTGTATTTTCAGTAGAGATGGGATTTCGCCATGTTGGCCAGGCTGGTCTCAAACTCCCGACCTGAAGTGATCCACCCATCTTGGCCTCCCAAAGTGCTGGAATTACAGGCTTGGGCCACTGTGCCCAGCCTGAAGTATAAGATTGAAGAGATGGATTCCCCACAGTATTCACACATTTCCTTACCATGGGCTAGTCACTTAAAATGGCCATGCTAATACTTGTTTTATGGAACAGTGGTGACTGTCACATCTGCCTGCAGACTATGGATAAAAGTAACATTATAAAAATGTATGTTCAAGCCTGGGCAAGATAGTGAGACCTTATCTCTTAAAATAAATAAATAAATAAATAATAGCAAAATGTGGCCGGGCGCAGTGGCTCATGCCTGTAATCCCAGCACTTTGGGAGGCTGAGGCGGGTGGATGACGAGGTCAGGAGATTGAGACTATCCTGGCTAACACGGTGAAACCCCTTTTCTACTAAAAATACAAAAAAATTAGCTGGGCGTGGTGGTGGGCGCCTGTAGTCCCAGCTACTGGGGAGGCTAAGGCAGGAGAATGGCATGAACCCGGGAGGCGGAGCTTGCAGTGAGCCAAGGTGGCGCCGCTGCACTCCAGCCTGGGCGACAGAGCAAGACTCTGTCTCAAAAAAAAAAAAAAAAAAAATAGCAGGATGTGGTGGCATGCATCTGTAGTCCCAGCTACTCAGGAGGCTGAGATAGGAGGATCACTTGAGCTCAGGAGGTTGAGGCTGCAGCAAGCTGTGGTCACACCACTGTACTCCAGCCTGGGTGAGGGTGATACCCTGTCTCTAACAAAAATGTATGTTCATTATTGGGAGTCTATCCCTGAGCACAGCTAAAATTTTGTAGCACTCGTAGAATTGCATCATCAGTTCTACAGAAGTTGAGCCCTAGGTGAGTTGGCAATTGAGAAAAATTCCTGAAAAGAGAGGAAAGACTGAAAGTGGTCTAGTATTTCCTAGACTGCACTTTACTTCACATGACAGTGTGCTGCAGGGTGAAGGGGAAGGGCTAAGGACTCAGATCAAACTTCAGCCTGTCACTTTCCCTCATTCAACACATATTTAGGACCTGTATCATGTTCTAGGAAATTACTAGCTATGTGACTTAGGTAGACAGCTCCGTTGAACTTTATTTTTCTCATCTGGAAAACTAAAAATAGTATGTATATACCTCATGGGTCTATTGTAAAAATTAAATGAAATGCGTCTGTTGTAAATAATGTATTAGAACATCAGCTCTGTGTCTGAGCAGTGTAGGGCACTTAGGGATCCTGAGTTTTCACCCCTGACTGGTCTCACTTACTTCCTGGCAAGACTGGGCAGTCCTGACCCACTTGGTCTAGGGTACTGGATTGGCACCTGGCTTGTTCTGTCTGCTGCAGAACTCATCCAGGCATTCAGCACTCCTACCAGCTGGGGTAGAGAACACAATGGAAGCAGAAACGGCTTCTCCCAAGGCTGACCTGGTGCAGTCTGCGCTGGTTAGGCAAGGGGAACAGAAGCCACTCAAGTATCTAGTGGTTGATCAAACTCCTGCTGTTTGCCTCAGAGCCTTCCTTCCACCCAGCCTTAACTGCTGTTATCTAAGGTCTATTCACATGTCCTGTATGCAGAGCCAAATAGGTGAAGATTGGTTGCTCTTTGTCATTGAAGAAACCAATGCTCCCCTTCTCCTGTTGAAGGAATCAGCCTTCCCCAGTATTATCTGGGCTCACTGGGCCCTTCTGTGCAGGACTTCTTTTGAATGATTGCAGGTATCCTGCCTTTCTGGCCCATGGCTCACAAGCTCACCACTAGTCCTCATCACCAGCAGCCAAAACTGCAACTGACCTGATTCAGCAGAAAAGAAATGGATGTATTAAAAGGATATTGGGAGAACCAGGGAGCCAGGCCTGAGGCAAAGCTTCCAGGAACCACACCTAAGGTGAACTGCAGAAGCTGTTGGATGAGAATGCTGCAGCTGCCCCCGAGTTCTTGCTGCTGCTGTTTTGTGCACTGCTAGGAGCCCACCTCCCGGTGACTGCTGCAGCCCCCACCCCGCGTGCTGCTGCAGCCCCCACCCTGCATGCTGCTGCAGCCCCCACCCCGCGTGCTGCTGCAGCACCCACCCTGCATGCTGCTGCCGCCCCAGGAGAACACAGCTGTCACGCAAGGCATGTCAGATGCATGTGCCGCCATGTTCCCTTGAAAAGTACATGCCTGTATATGCTTTTTCCTCATATTTGTTACCTGCAACTCAAAGTCAGGTGTCCCTTACTGGTGAACTCCATACCACAGGCTTCTAATACAAGTTTTCTAGCTTTCATCTTAGAAAAGCAGGACACCTGTAATCCTAGCATTTTTGGAGGCCGAGGTGGGAGGATCACTTGTGGCCCAAGACCAACCTGGGCAACATAGCGAGACCCCCATCTCTCTAAAAAAAAAAAAAAAAAAAAAAAAGGGCCGGGCACAGTGGCTCATGCCTGTAATCCCAGCACTTCAGGAGGCCGAGGTGGGCAGATCATGACGTCAGGAGATCGAGACCATCCTGGCTAACACGGTGAAACCTGGTCTCTACTAAAACCACAAAAAATTAGCCGGACATGGTGGTGGGCGCCTGTAGTCCTAGCTACTCAGGAGGCTGAGGCAGGAGAATGTGTGAACCTGGGAGGTGGAGTTTGCAGTGAGCAGAGATTGTGCCACTGGACTCCAGCCTGGGTGAGAGGGGGAGAGAGAGAGAGAGAGAGAGAGAGACAGACAGACAGACAGACAGATGGGAGGGAGGGAGGGAAGAAGGAAAGAAGGAAGGAAGGAAGGAAGGAAGGAAGGAAGGAAGGAAGGAAGGAAGGAAGGAAGGAAGGAAGGAAAGAAGGAAGGAAGGAAGGAAAGAAAAGAAAAGAAAAAGGAAAAAGAAAGAAAAGAAAAGCAGGGTTCCTAAAGTGGGAAGATTTGCAAGCATTAGACCATGTGTCAGAAATAGAAAAAATATATACAGAAAATGTCCACTTTGTACTCTGGCCTCAGGCTCTCATCGTCTTCCCAGTCCCATCTCCTCCCACCTGATGGACCCACGCCCAGGGCCCTGTGTTAAGGTTTGGCTTGAGATGTTTCGCATGGGGGCCTGAGCCATAAGAGAAGTGCAAGGAATTCAGATGGGCACCTCAGGACAGTGAGCAACAAGGGGGTGCTGCCTGGGCTTGGGAACCCCAGAGGGGGTTAAGGGAAGAGTAGCAGGGTGACGATTAGCTACAGTCATAAAATGGGAGATCTAGGATGGCCTTGGGGAACATCTAGTGGGCGTCAGGCATCCAAATGCCTGCAGAGAGGGGCCAGGCAGGTCAGACATAGGGGATGATGGGGCCTGTGGGGATGCCCCTTTAGGCATTACATTCAAAAACTTAAGTCTACTGTGCAGAGGTGATAGGAATGATACAAGTGGTTGTTGTTGGGGGGCTGATCGGCTACAAAGGGGCATGAAGAAACTTTGTACAGGTGATGCAAGTGTTCTGTATGTTGCTTTGGGTAGGGTTACATCGTATATACCTTCATCAAAGAAATAACTTAGATTTGTGCTTTTTACCATGAAGTATACCTCAATTTTAAAACTTGGGGCAAATTCATAAAGCCTGTCTGTAAACTGATCTGGCTCTCGGGCTAGCCATTTGCAAACTTCTGTTGCAATCCGACTTCCAGAGGCGGCCTTGGCTCCTCATACAGGAAAAGCGCGACTGCGGCGTGGTCTGGCTGGCAGCCGCTCACTGCGCGGTCTCCACGCCTGGCAGGTGGCGCGGGGCAGGCAGCTGTGCCAACCTAGCATTTCCACCCGCCGGGAGGAGGCGATCCCCTGGGGCCGGCCGGCGTCTCTCTGGCCTGAAAATGAGCGGGTCACCCCAAACGCCAACTCCGAAAGGAGCGGAAGCGGACGGAGCAGCCGACTCCAGGGAGCGCCGGCCAGGCACGCAGATAAATCACGGACACACACTGCACTGATAGCTCCAGACTGGCGTTGAGTGCCAAATGCCGATACAGACCCGGTCAAGTTCCAGGAAGAGAAATCCAATCCGATGCGCCCGAGGCGGCAGGGAGCACAGCGACACCCACCTGACAGGGGAAGGGGGGCACCCAACCTTGATGGAGCCCCTCCCCGGGCGGGCACTTCGGGCACTTCCCGAAGTCGTACCTGGCCACCCGCCAGCCCGGGTAGGCACCAGCATCAGGAATCGCCTCTTCAAGGGGGAGAAAAGCCAGGCCGCCGCAGTTCGCGGAGCCATAGGGACTGCGGTGGAATTTCAGGCCGGGGTGTGGGACCCCACGCCCTCGCTCTGTCCTCTCCTCCATCCTGAGGCGAGCAGGTGTCTGCAGAGTGCCTCCAAGCCCATCGCAAAGCGGACGTGGCCCCCGTCTCGATGTCGGCGCTGCACGCCGAGAGGGACCCCGGGGTGGTGTTGGGCGCGAGGGCGGCGGCAGGGACGCGCTGCGACCGAGTCCCCGGACCCTGCGACCCGCAGGGACCTTCCGGACGCACGGAGCCCGGCCCTTCAGCCGGCGCCCGCCCTGATTGGCGCCCGAGGCCGGCCTCCTGCCGGCTCACCTGCCACTCCCAGCCAATCGGGGCCACCAGAATTGGGGCTGTCGCCGGGGGGAGGGGAAGATGCTGCCGGCCGGAGGCTGAGCGGCCCTCCCCGCCAAGTTCCCGCCCGGCCCTCTGCAATCCCTAGCGCCAGCCGCCGGCTGCGCGCCCCGCGCCCCCTTCGCGCCGCGTCCAGTGCCCAGCGCGCTTGGATGCTGCAGCTCCGGGCCGGGGCCGCTCCGCTTCTCTGCTCGGTGGGACGCCCCCCGACGGCTCCGTCCTCGCCCCTCGCCCTGCGTCCCTGCTGACCCCGGGAGGTGGGGTCCGGGCCGGGCACAGCCCCGCTGAGGCAGGATGTTCACGTCCAAGTCCAACTCGGTGTCGCCCTCACCGTCTCTGGAGCAGGCCGACTCGGACGCGCTGGACATCAGCACCAAAGTGCAGCTCTACGGCGTGTTGTGGAAGCGGCCTTTCGGGAGGCCGTCCGCCAAGTGGTCCCGGCGGTGAGTGCGCCCCCGCACCCCGAGGGGAACGGCCAGGGAGAGAGCCTGGGCCTCGGCACCCCTCCCGCCCCCTCCAGTCTCCGTCATGCCTCTGCCTTCCTGTGTGACCTTGGCGTCACCCCTTCACTCTACAGTGGCTCCCGCGGGAAAATGTGGACCTTAGTCTGGGACAGGAAAACGGGGATGGGAACCCCTGCCCTGGGGCGGTGGCGAATTCTCTGTGGAATGAACCTGACCCTCGAGTGGGAATGTTGGGTATGGGCAGAAGAGACCATGGTCGGGGTGGGATCCAGCTAGGTCAGGTCAGGCCAGACTGAGGCGAGGGAGAAACTCCTTCCTCTTCACAACCCCTCACCCAGGCCGCGAGCACCGGGCCCAGAGTGTCTGCCTCCCGCCAACCACCCCCGCTTAGATGGAGAGGGACCTGGCCCTTCTGAAAGGCTCAGGCCAGGGAGGGAGGAATGATGAGGAAGGGTGCTTGTCCATGGGGAAGTGACCTTGGCAACCCCTCCGACTGTCCCTGGAAATAATTTTTTTTAAAGTGAGCACAGGGAAGAGAGATTCCAGTGCTTCACGCAGAGGAGCTGGAAAGGAGGGAGGCAGCTGGAGTGAGGAAGGGGATAGATTGGTCCTGACAAGGACTGATCCTTTGAAAGAGGTGGTGGGAAGAGGCAGGGTAGTCCCAGCCATCCTTCAGCGCCAGCTGCCTGGTCCCCAAGTCAGACTCGACTCCCCGGACATCAGTAGCCACTCTCCACTTACAAAGGAGCCTGGGAGGTATTGAGGGAAGAGGGAATTCACAGCCCTGGACTGCAGGAAGCTCCCAACTTCTGGACAGTTTCCAGTCTCTAGTCAATTTCAGTTCTGAGAGTCACTACTGGTGTGGCCCGGAGAACGCAGACCCTGTCCAGCCCTTCCCTGGAGGTATGACCCTTCCAGGAAACCAGGGGTATCCAGATGCCCCTTCCCCATCCCACACTACCAGTCTGCCCCTGAGCAGAGGGGGCCTCCAATGTTCCCAGGACCACAGATCATGTGGATGTGGTAGTGGTGGGTGCTGATGTTCTGTTCTGATGAATAATTTAATGTCTCTATAAGACCGCAGAACAAATGGAGCTGTGGACAATATCCCACATTTTACATCTCTGGTTTCATGTTGTTTTGTTACTTCTGACAGTTTTCTCTCTGGGATTTAATAGGATACTGGCTTTTTGAGTTCCTCCAAAGTTGAGCTTATCTCTGACCCCCTAAATGGAGGCTTGGAGCAACATGGAAAGTATTTGGGGGAGCTTCCAGTGTTGAGCTATGTGAGCTACAGCCCCCAGGGCCAGGAGAGCTGGGGTGGAAAGGCTGTGTGTAGATTCAAGCACAATTAGCAGAATATCTCCCCCCCACTCCCCATCTCTCTTCTGCCTCAGCAGCTCCAGATAGTCAATCTTTCTTTTCTATTGGGTCTGGCTGCTGCTCAGGGTCCTGTCAACCGACACTCCTCTTGCCAGACATTTTCACCTGACTGCATCCCTAGAAAATGCTAGGTGCCCATAACCCCCAGGGTATGTCCCCTGGTCCTCCCCTTCACCACTGCAGGTATATTGGGAACATAGTCTCTGCACCCACAGTTGATTCAAGGGCTGGGAAGTGTCAGGAGTACAGGGCATAGGTCCCCAGCTAAAAGCACAGTGGTGGTGCCAAGGAGGCTTGGAGAGGTTTAGCATCCCCCCCACCCCCACCCAGAGATTCCATCTTGTACTCCCTCCACTACTGTGGTCCCCATAGCCACCCAAAACTATCCAATCAGAGTCTGAACAGTATGTATGCTCAGCTAATACAACTAAAAGTCAAGTCCTTCAGCCCCCTTCCAAGGAGATTGTTACCTGGGTTCCCTTCCTTTGTAGGAATTCTGGAGCTGCCACTGTGCAAAGACTACCTGGGGCTCAAGAAAGAACTAACATCCCACCTGCCCACTCTAGGCCTCTGTGTTCTCGGTTCTGGGAATACACAACACACACACACACACACACGCACACACACTGTTTAGTCTTGGGTCAGTGACAGAGCCAGCCAGAGAGGGCCTGGGTGTTGGGGAGAATGACGCTCAGCTCAGCCCCCTCTCACTTCCCATCAGGGCCCCCTGGGCCCCAGCTTCCCATTTGTAAAGTAGAGTCTGTGGGTTCTAATTAGCAGCCACAGGAAGACTTGGGGACAGAGCAGCTCAGGGCTGCCACTGCAGAGCCTTGCCATTAGGGCGATCGATGCCCTGGCTGGGGCAGCTAAAGGGAGGGGGCCTGGAAAGGCTCAGTGCTACATTAATAAAGAATGGGCTGGATAGAACTAGCTGTGGCCAGCTGAGTTCTATAAAACCTTTTCCACTCAGGGTCTGTCTTAGGACTTGTGCCTCCAACTTCCACTGCCCAAGCAGCCCTGCCAGCCTGGGGTGGGAAGGTGCCCTTGAGCTGAAGGGTCAATTTCTTTCCTGGGGGCAACAAAAGGGGAAGGGAATCAAAAGCATTAATTAGCAGAGATTAGATAATCTGGGAGAGGTGTCTAGAAGGGAAGGCTGTTGACTGTGTCCTCACCTTGGTCTGTGAGTGGTGGAGATGGAAGTGCCAAGACCTGGCAAAGATCTGGGCAGCGCCAAAACAAAGAGGAAAGGAGTGGGAGGTCTCCGCCTTAGCCAGTGTCACACTGTGAGGGCTTGGCCTAGGCTAATTCTTTCCTGAGACTGAATGCTTTTTCCAGCGTTCTATTCTTCTTCCCAAATCCCTCCTGAACACCTCTCAAGGCCAGAACCCCTGAGGAGGAGGACCCACCCACTTCCTTCCTGCAACAGGAGCGTCTATACTCCTCCTCACCCCTCCTTCTCCCCAGGGGCCAGGTAGCCAGGAGGGCCTGAACCCAGCTCCGCAGTTTACTCTTGCAGAACGTTGGTGGGTCCCTGACTCAGGGGAGCTAAGATTCATGGTGTCCACCTGGTGCTAGGGGAGCGAGCCATGGAGACAGTGGCCATGTGTCCCAAATCTCAGGCCACAACCTATGCGGTGTGTAAAGATTATCTGCGCAGATGAGGGTCACCATACCAAAAAGACTCGAGGAGACTTTCTTCCCACAGGGATTTGGAGCCCAGGGTTTTGACTTTGGCTCTCAGCACTGCTTCCCAGAGGTGACACAAATGCTGAGCTTTTTCAGAGCAAAGAGAAGAGCCTATCATGCCAACTTCACCGCACTAAGCTCAGTCTCACCCTAGTGACGCTGGGGTTTGGTCTCACTTTCTGGCACCCCTGGCATTCCCCTCAGCTGGCTGTGTGAGGTATCCCACAAGCACAGTTGTAACATTTCTGCCGTGGAGGGTGCCTGCAGGACCTCCTTTAAAAAATAAACTTCTATTCTTCAAAATTCTACCAGAGTGGCAACATAGGGTGTGGGGAACAGTAGCCAGCAGCGGTTGAGGGACAGGATCTTCTACTGATGTGTGTGGGAAGTTGAGGAGGCTCTTTCAGCATTGATGAAGAAGAAGGACTTGGAGAACAGTGTCTGTGCCTCCAGAAAAAAAAGTAGTGACCAAATTACTTTATTCTGGAGATTTCATAGTGTTTTTCACTCTCTGGCTCCTTGTTCCAGAGCTGTTCCCCCCAAGCCCACTGATAGGAAACTGAGGCACAGAGGCAGGGGGAAGGTGCTTTTCTGAGTCTCCTCAGATTCCTTTACCCATCACCCTCTCCCCTTTCTGTGCTGGTCACATCCAGGTTACAATGAATGCTTGGGTTAGGGAGATGGGCGCACTCTCTGGATCACACAGCCATAAACGAAATGATACACATCAGGTCAGGCTTCACTGTGGTCATGTGATCATTTACCCAGACCAGGTCTGCCAAAGTTAAGCGAGTTAATTGTGCAAACAAGTGACATTTCTTTCTCACCCACTCCGCAAGGAACTGCACTCAGTGGCTGTTGATGTCCTATTTGAAAATGAGTCTCACCTGTGTGAGGGTCAGACCTCCAGCTTGCAGACAATTCAGCTTCCTTATCCCCAAGTCTTAAAAATAACAAAGTAATTGCTTCTGAGAACAGCTGTGGGTGTGGTAGAAAGTGCATCTAAGGCCGGGTGTGGTGGCTGGTAATTCCAGCACTTTGGGAGGCCAAGCGGGGCGGATCACTTGAGGTCAGGAGTTGGAGACCAGCCTGGCCAACGTGGCGAAACCCTGTCTCTACTAAAAATACAAAGATTAGCCAGGCGTGGTGGTGGGTGCCTGTAATCTCAGCTACTCAGGAGGCTGAGGCAGGAGAATTGCTTGAACCTAGAAGGCAGAGGTTGCAATGAGCCGAAATCAAGCCACTGCAACTCCAGCCTGGGGGACAGAGCGATACTCCGCCAAAAAAAAGAAAAGGAAGTGAATCTAGGCTTAGAGGCAGGTGCTCCAAGTTCTACCCCCAGCTCTGCCAGTAACCAGCTGCATGATCCAGACTGTGGCATTTCACCCCATTGGCCAGCAGTATCTCATCTATAGAGTGGGAGTGGGATGGGTCAAATAGTGTGCCACAGGTGACCCCAGAGGTGCCTTGAGTCTACTACAAGGGAATGGGGAACAGGGGTCCAGCTCCAAGTCTCCCTGCCCACTTCAAGCAGTACCTCTGCACTGTTATGTTTTCTGGTTTGTTTGTTTGTTTGTTTGTTTGTTTGAGACAGAGTCTCCTGTCACCAAGGCTGGAGTGCAGCATCGCGATCTCAGCTCACTGCAACCTCCGCCTCCCAGGTTCAAGGAATTCTCATGTCTCAGCCTCCTGATTAGCTGGGATTACAGGCACATACCACCATGCCCGGCTAATTTTTGTATTTTCTAGTAGAGATGGGGTTTCGCCATGTTGGCCAGGCTGGTCTCGAACTCCTAACCTCAGGTGATCTGCCTTCCTCAGCCTCCCAAAGTGCTGGGTTTACAGACATGAGCCACCTGTTACATGTTTTACACCAGCAGTTCCCAACATTTTTGGCACCAGGTGCCATG